ATTCCCTTTTATGGCTTAGTAGTATTCTATGGTGTATGTATACCACACTTTCTTTATCTATTCATTAGTTGATGGACACTTTGGTTTGTTCCACATCTTTGCAATTGTGAATTGTGCTGCTATAAACATATGTGTGCAAGTGTCTTTTTCATATAATGACTTTTCCTTTGGGTAGCTACCCAGTGGTGGGATTGCTGGATCAAATGGTAGATCTACCTGTAGTTCTTTAAGGAATCTCCACACTGTTTTTCATAGAGGTTGTACTAATTTACATTCCCACCAGCAGTGTATAAGCATTCCCTTTCCCCCACATCCATACTGCCCAAAACAATCTATAGATTCAATGCAATTCCCATCAAAATACCAACACCATTTTTCATAGAATTAGAAAAAAAATCCTAAAATTCATACAAAACCAAAAAAGAGCGCAAATAGCTAAAGTATTCCTAAGCAAAAAGAATAACATTTCTTGATTTGCATATGTTGAACCAATTTTGCATCCCAGGAATGAAGCCTACTTGATCGTGATGAATTAACTTTTTTTTTTTTTTTTTAGATGGAGTTTTGCTCTTGTCACCCAGGCTGGAGTGCAATGGTGCAGTCTCAGTTCACTGCACCCTCCACCTCCCGGGTTCAAGAGATTCTCCTGCCTCAGCCTCCCAAGTAGTTGGGATTGCAGGCACTTGCTACCACGCCTTACTAATTTTTATATTTTAGTAGAGATGCGATTTCACCATGTTGACCAGGCTGGTCTCGAACTCCTGACCTCAGGTGATTTGCCCACCTCAGCCTCCCCAAAGTGCTGGGATTACAGGTGTGAGTCACTGTGCCCAGCTTTGAATTAACTTTTTATTTTTTATTTTTATTTTTTAAATTTTATTTATTTATTTATTTTAATAATATTTATTTATTTTATTATACTTTAAGTCCTGGTATACATGTGCAGAACGTGCAGGTTTGTTACATAGGTGTATATGTGCCATGGTGGTTTGCTGCACCCATCAACCCGTCATCTACATTAGATATTTCTCCTAATGCTATCCCTCCTCTTGCCCCCATCTCCCGACAGGCCCTGATGTGTGATGTTCCCCTCACTATGCCCATAGGTTCTCATTGTTCAACTCCCACTTATGAGTGAGAACCAGTGGTGTTTGGTTTTCTGTTCCTGTGTTAGTCTGCTGAGAATGATGGTTTCCAGCTTTATCCATGTCCCTGCAAAAGACATGAACTCACTCTTTTTTTACGGCTGCACAGTAATATGCTGCTGGATTCTATTTGCTACTATTTTGTCAAGAATTTTTCTGTCTATGTTCATCAAAATATTGGCTTCTAGTTTTCTTTTTTTGTTGTGTCTTTGCCAGGTTTTGGTATCAGGGTGATGTACTTCCCCTCGAATCTAAAATAAAAGTTAACATTATTAAATAAAAAATTTTAAGAAGGATACTACCACAGGAGTAAGATAGGGGAAAGATCATTGTACTAAAAGAAGCCTTGAAGCTGGGTACTTTTTACTGTGTAGATCACCCATATGAATGGTGAAGTCACCAAAAATCGTGATGAAAGTCAAGTGGAGAGGAAGGCAGGGACCCAGAGGTTAAACTTGTAAATGAATGACTGTGAGTGGTGAGGAGGTCACCAAATGCTGGCAACCAAGAAGAGTTAGAGGGAGGTAAAGTCTGAGTTCAAAAAAGTTCCATGTTTCAAACAAGATGAAAGGAGTAATGATTAAGCAGTAATCCTAAGGAGCAAAGACAACAATCCCCACCTGGGTTTTGAGATATGTGATATATGGGAGGGCTGAGGGGAAAGAATGTCATCTGGGGATGACCAGGCACTCTTTATGGAAAGAAAGTTAAGGGACCATTCAGAAAAAAAGTGAGTGATATGGGGGAGTTTGTTAATGACAGGCCACAAATTCCAATGAAAGGATTTGGGTGGATAGAGAGGGATAAAAGTTTGAATCAAATTAGAGGATGATCAGAACAGTATGTGGGATAGGATAACCAGAAATGATCTAGGGAGGTTTATGTTTCTGGTAACTGATGGGAGACCTGACGTTTATATCTGAAGAATATCCTAGAGGAGGAAAGGGAGTAATAAGTCCAAACTGGAGTACATGGGGCTACTGCATAGCTGTTCCCACCATTAACTCCATGTGGTATGAAGGCCAGGAGGACAAACAAGGCCTCACAAAGGAATTGCTAGTTGGGTGTGGTGGTGTGCACCTGTAATCCCAGCTACGTGGGAGGCTGAGGTGGGAGGATTGCTTGAGCCTAGGAGGTTGAGGCTGTAGTGAGCCGTGATTGTGCCTCTGCATTCCAGCCTGGGCAACAGAGAGAGACCCTGTCTCAAAAAAAAAAAAAAAAGAAAAAGAAAAAGAAAAAGGAAAAAAGGATTGCTGGTTTAGACAGTCACAGCTTGATACTGTGAGAACTTCCTTTTTTGCTTCAGCGCAGTGGTGACCAGTTGGGGAAAAGGTGGTTTCACCTAAAGAACCTGTTGCTGAAGTTGTTTGTTTTCTTGAGTGGTTGAGGTGGCCTCATGAGTGTGATCCCAAGGAATTAAGACTGCTGCTTCTCTCCCATGACTTTCATTTGTAAGGCAGAATCAAGCATGAGGAGTTGAGAATGACCCCTCTCCTGTGGCTCACGGAAGTAAGGTAGGTATTGGTGTTTGGATGAAGAGGAGGAGGAGGTGGTCCTGGCTAGGACCTCCTATTCACAGAACAAGATAAGAAAAGGAGCCAAGTTTCTATCTGGATTGACATAGTGTAGCATATGACAGCAGAGAGTGGAAAAAGACACATTTATTAGGTTGGTGCAAAAGTAATCACGGTTTTTGCCATTAAAAGTAACTGCAAAAACCTCAATTACTTTTGCACCAACCTAGTAAAACTAAAGGAATTCAGCAGAAGCAGACTGTAAGCCATTAGGAAGTCAAAGAGATTTGGGCAAGATTATTTGCCTATCCCTATACTGATGCATACTGTTTTAATCTGTTGCTTTATAATAAGTCATGCTAGGACAAAGTTTTGTTCTTTTTATTTTCTCTAAAATTATGTTTGCTATTCATGGTGTATCATTCTCCCATATGAATTTTGGGTTTGGCTTGCCAATTTTTACACACATACACACACACACACACAAACCAAAAACATTGTTATAATTTTTCTTGGAATCATATTGAATTGATTGATAAATTTGTAATAAATTTTATTTGTAATAAATTTATTTATAAAATAAATCTTTATAATACCAGAAGTTCCTGCTTATAAACATGAAATCTCTTATTTATTTTGGTCTTTTATATTGACCTTCATTAGTTTTATAGTTTCTACACAATAGGCCTTGCAACTCCTTTTTTATTACTGGGTACTTTTTGGGATTTCTTACCTTAATAGGATTTTTTAAATTGTAATCTTTAATTAGTCCTTGGTGGAGTGATTTTTATACATTGTTATTCTATCTCACAACCTTCCAGCATGCCCATATTTGTTCTGAGATTTTCTATAGATCTTTTTGGATTTTTATGTAGGTATACATATTATCTATAAGTAATAACATTTTGTTTCTTATTCTTTAATTTTTATATGTATTTATTTTTCTTTATATTCACTGAATTTGGGGTCTAGGAGGTCATCAATTAGCTAGGAACAATAATTAGAATAATACTATTAGTAGTTGAAATGTGTAATGACATTATAATATTGTGATATAATGAGAAATATATATTTGGTTTTCCTTGGCTCCTGATAGAGAACTCCTAAAACCCCCACAATTTCCTGCATGATGGAGTGCTAGGAACATCCTTTGTTCAAATATTTGGTCTCCGGCCCCAGTTCCTGATAAAGAACCCCTAAACTCCTTGGAATTTCTTGGGTGATGTGATTGTCTTATATTCTAATGAAGCAACTCTTGACAGACCCCCAGATAGCTTTAAGATGTGGGGTGGTTGCCAGAAAAAGCAAGCCACGATTGGAAGCTTAGAGCCTTCAGCCCCTCAGTGTATCTCCCAGGAAGTGGGGAGGGGCTGGAGATTGAATAAATAATTGATCATGTCTATGTGATAAAGCCTCCATAAAAATCCTTACAGTGCAGGTTTTGGAATGCTAAAACACATCTACATACCAGGGGTGTGGCGTGTCACAACTCCACGGGGACAGAAGCTCCTTTACTTGGGAATCTTTCGGACCTTGCCCAACTGTTTACTGTATCCTTTGTTTTGTCCTTTATAATAAACTGGCAAACCTAAATAAATGTTCCCCTGAGTTCTATGGGTTGTGCTAGCAAATTATTGAACTCAAGGAAGGGGTTGTGGGACCTCCCCAAATTATAATTAGTTGATTGGAACTACAGCCTAGGACTTGTGACTGGCATTTGAATTGGGGGACAGTCTTGGGGAACTGAGCCCTTAATCTGTTGTTGGTTAGGGAGGAGAGTCTGTGCTAACTCCAGGTAGCTAGTGCCGGAATTGAATTAAACCATAGGGCACCTACTCGGTCATTCACAGAGAACCGGAGAATCACTTGGTGTGGAAAATCCATACATTTGGTAGTAAAGTGTTATGGAATGAATATAGAGAGAAACAGTTATTTCTTTCCCTATATAGATGCTCTCAGATATTACAGTAGTAATGAAAAAAATGCAAACATAAACAAAGTAATGTGGTATTTCAGGAACAACAATACCTATTTATACATGGCAGGAATAGCAGATAATCTCTGGGAGAAAGTAACATATTAATGGAGGGCATGGCATAAAGGAAATTAGGAGACACACTAAAGTCACAATTAACATGACAAAAAGTCACAGCAAGAAAACATACTTAGTATATCACACTTGCAAGCAGACAACACACAGTATTGAAGAATAAATTTTTAGATATTTTTAGGAAAAAATTTTCCTTCCCTATGTCTATGCATTTATTTCTGCTGCCAGTTAAACATTACTGTTATAAAATACAAATGCCAACATCAATATTTAATGAAGCTATAAACCTACCATCAAGTAGTGCATCCATAACGAAGCCTAGTAATGCCACGTCGTTGGCGCAGGGGCATTTTGTCACTTTGAGATCTACCACATGTGGATATATTTTACCCATCTCACTTTCTGGAATCTCAACCCCAGGAGCCCACTGAAGAATCGGTTCTGCAGAAATCAAATTTGGGTGTTTAAATGGTGGGAGCACCCTTGAAAATGGAACATTGCTACTTTCCTTTAAAGGTTTTAAAAGAACTATGTAAAGAAACCATTCTATAGTTCAAAAAAGGCGTATTACCTCACTCTGCATTGGTTAAAAATCAGTCAGTGACTATTTTCCAGGATATAAGGAGTAAAGTCTAATTCCCCTTGATGGGGGGCTGGCAAGGTTACATTGCAGCATGTGGAATGGGAGAGATTGCTTTGGCCACATTTGAAAAATACCATTTGCCACAGGATCTGTCCCTAGAAATGAAATTGCTGGATCACAGAATACACACATTTATAACTTCTGAGCCCACTCATTTCCTTTTTGTTCTCTTCCCAATCCCACTGAAATAGCAGTAGATACATAAAAATGAGAATAAATCCAGAGTAGCAGGGGAGAACAAGGACAGTTATCATTAGTGGCCAAGAGACTTAGAGGGATTTCTGGAAGATAGTTGAAAAATACTATTTGCCACAGGATCTATCTGTATAAATGGAATTGCAGAATCACAGAATACATTTATAACTTCTGCTTCAGGAGCCCACTCATTTACTTTCTGTTCTCTTCCCAATCTCATTGAAACAACAGTAGGTAGATGAAAATGAGAATAAATCCAGAGTAGCAGTGGTGAACAGGGACAGTTATCATTAGGGGCCAAGAGACTTAGAAGGATTTCTGCAAGATAGAAGTTGTGAATGAGATGCAGAAGAAAAAGCAATCAGAGGTGAGGCATCTCCAATGCAGCACAGGCAGAATAGTAGCACTAGTGGCGAATAAGGTCTTTCACGTGGCAAAACAGGCCTTCCAGAATCTAACGTCCTCTTGGTTCCTCAGCTTTACTTCTTGCCAGAACTGCCCTCCCACTAGAGGCTCTGGTTCATGGGGCTTTAAATATATGTTTTTCTCACAACCCTATTTTTCAGTCCTCGATGTGAATGTCTCCCTCTTTGGGAAGCCTTCCATGATATCCTAGAATGAGTGAGGCTCTCCTCCCAGGTGCTCCAATAGGACTCTGTACTCACTGTAAGTAGAAGAATCAGGGTACATTCTTCCTCACCAGACCAGGGTAGACAATGAGCCTTTTGAAAGAACATCATCAGACAAGGCTTCACAAATTTTAACACTTAAAATATTACTTTTGGATATGCAAAGGATTGGAGCTAAAGTCGAATTTTCATGCATTAAAAAAAGGGAGGGTTTTTTTTTCTTTTGGAAAAAAATGAGAAAAAAAAAAGAGTACAAAAAGTAAGCCAGGGCAATTTGAAAGACTACTGCTATCTGAATTTCAAAAATAGTCAAAGCACTTTTAAGAGCAGAGATAACTAATAACCAGTTATTTAGCTATTTACATTCTTCTCTGTCTCCCCACCTTTCAACAAAATCTGCTACAAACCCAAAGACTTTGTGTGATATTTTTTTCACTTTGTGCAAAGCAAGAAGCTAACTTTTCATCAGGGTAGACATAATGCAGCACAGGGACAGCCAAGAAGGGAAAAAGACACAATCTCTAACTACACTAATTCACCAGGAAGTCATTCCAGAATTCAAAGAAATGTGGGGCAAAGGGTGTAGTATGTGTTTGCAGACCATTCACACCCAGGTCAGGGAGAATACAGCCTACCACTGGACATCACTGAGCTGACAATGCCCCACTACTTATATACAAGCTCCTGAAGTCAGGTACTAAAATCTTAAGCATTTTAAGAACAAAGAAGTGATTAAAAGTTTGGACAGCTACTAAGAAGCTAAAAAGGGGACAGAAAAGTGACCTATATGAAGGTCGCTGGTGACTATGATTAGCAGCAGTTTGAGTAGCGTGGAGGAGATGGAAATAAATGAGTGGTTTGGGGTGTGGATTGGATATAAGGAAACAGAGACAAGGTTTTACACTCTCTTTTGAGTTCAGGAGTGAATAAAGATTTCTAACTCTAGCTTTAACTCTTGATTCCTATTTCGCAGTGTCTGCTCCTCCTGTCTTCAGCATTTTGGTGAATGATAACATCCTCTACTTGAATGTTTGAGTAAGAAATCCAGGCATCATCCTTGTTACTTCTGTTTTCCCCCACCTTAATCCACCAAGAAGCCATAGCAGCTCTACTTTCAAAATGTATTCTGAAGGCTCTGCTCACCACCTCCACTGCTAATGCTACTGTCCATCTACTCCAGACCTTCTTAAGGGGGACTACTGCAACAACTGCTACCAATTTCCTTTATTCCATTCTTGCTATCCTTCCTCAAGAGTTATTCTCTACACAGCAGCCAAAATGATCTTTTCATTATAAAAGATAAATCAGAATTTATTACTTCTCTGCTTAAAATATCCCAGTGGCTCTAAATCATAATTACAATAAAGTCCACACTTTTTACCAAGATCCCTGCCAGCTTCTCCAAACTCATGATCTACCACTCTGTCATTTACTATGCTTCAGCAACACTAATCTCCTTTCAGTTCTTCAAACAGATCAATCTCATCTCCGCACCTGGCGCTTTCAAAGATCTACCAATTTGTGAAGCTTTTTGTTGCAATTATACCTCAGTACATTCTAAACAAATGTAAGTTAGCATTTGAATACAGTATGTAATATTTTAGGTGCATCTCAATTTGTAAATGATTCAGATTTCAGATCTTTTAAAAATTGATATAACAATTTTATATTGATATTTCAGGACTTAAAAAGTAGCATAGGATACCAAACTATCAGAGTCCCAAAGACAGTATTGTAATTACTATTGGACAATTAGTAACACTGTCTTTTTTTTTTTAATTTTGGAAGCTACTTAAAACTACATACTTTTTTGGAATAAGTAAATATAATCAACTTTATATGCCATTGTTTATAATGACCCTCAATATGGCCACAGTAAAATATGTATTTCCTTTTTTTTTTTTTTTTTTTTTTGAGACACAGTCTCACTCTGTTGCCCAGGCTGGAATACACTGGTGCAATCTTGGCTCACTGCAACCTCTGCCTCCTGGGTTCAAGTGATTCTCCTGCCTCAGTCTCCCAAGTAGCTAGGACTACAGGTGTGCATCATCACACCTGGTTAACTTTTGTATTTTTTTTTTTTTTTTTAGTAGAGATGGAGTTTCACCATGGTGGCCAGGTTGGTCTCAAACTCCTGGCCTCAAGTGATCTGCCCACCTTGGCCTCCCAAAGTGCTGGAATTACAGGCGTGAGCCACCCTGCCCAGCCTGTATTTCCATATTTCTATAGCACTCTTTGCAGATCTCTGTTAATAATTTACCCACATGTATTTAATTCTTCGTCCTATCAGATTGTGAGTGCCTCAAGGGTCATGACTCTCTCTCTTTTTTTTCTTTTTTTAATCTCTAGGACCTCAGAATCTGGCATATAGCAGACGTCAAAGTTTGTTGAAACAATATATGAATTCCATTTTACTTCTGTCTGTTGGCATTTACCTCGAATACGATCCAATAGAGTTCCTTCAGTAGCATAAATATTTAGTCCATGATGTAAAGTGATCCTTACCAACCATTCTTCTACAGCTGCAATATCTGTTTGAAAACAAAAGGCAAATAATCAACTATTTTTTCATATGTCGTGTTGGTGAAATTTAAGGATACGTGAACATTACCAACAATGATAGCCTTTCCTTTTCCAACTATTTTGTTGGCATTTATATGTCAAATTTCATATGCTTTCCCTATAAACATTTTGCTCATAAAATAATGAAAAAAGAATTATGAAGTGATTGTACCATCATAGCAATGAATCTAGATACTAATATTTAGTTCATAATTGTTCTAGAGCTGTAGGGGCTTGATAAAAAGCAAATTATGACTCTTCTTGTGACGCAGACCATGATTAATTAAAATGTATCATATAAACCCTAAGGTGAACAACAAAAAAAGCTTTTAAGGTATAACTAATAAGCCAATAGTGGATATAAAATGGAATCATAGAAAAGAATGAATATGAATGAAGACAGAAAAAGAGGAGAAAAGCAAAACAGAGGAGATTGAACAAATAGAAACAACATGCAAGGTGGTAGATTTCAATATAACTAGCTGTATCAACAATTACATTAAATGTAAGTGGTCTAAAATATCATCTAAAAGAACAGATTCAACAGATTAGATGTAAAAATAAAAATTAAACTATATGTTATTTATAACAAACTTATTTTAAATGTAAAAGCATAAATAAGTTAAAAGTAAAAGAATGGATAGGGCCTGGGGAAGCCAAGAGCAGCAGCTTTAGCCTGGGAGCTGCTGAAGTGGCTGTACCAATGGGCCAAGCCTGAGGTTGAAACTGAAACAGGGGTTCACTCATGAAGAACACGCCTAGTCCAAATGGTCTGGCTGCATAGACCCCCGTGTCCACCCAGGCATCTAGGCAGGTCTGTGCACTGTCATGGCAAGGCTATGGCTACACTGGTGGCTACTAAAGCAACCAGTGCCCAAGTACATCAATTGCTATCTGTGCCTCTTGCTATCATCACTCTCCATCAAGAAGTTCCTGGACTTTGGGAGAGATAATGGCTTGAGAGAACATCATATATGATTTTCAAAGGGAGATTCCTGTGCTACCAGCTAACACAGTGAATGAAGCCAATTTTCTGCTGGGTAAGTGGTTTAACAGGCCTTCAGTGGGATTGGTTCAAAGTTGGTATATGCAGAACTTTCTTGAAGTTTTAGAATATAAAAATAAGGGCCAGGCACGGTGGCTTATGCCTGTAATCCCAGCACTTTGGGAGGCCGAGGTGGGCAGAGCATGAGGTCAGGAGATTAAGACCATCCTGGCTAGCATGGTGAAACACCGTCTCTACTAAAAATACAAAAAAAAAAAAAAAAATTTAACCAGGCATGGTGGCGGGCGCCTGTAGTCCCAGCTACTCAGGAGGCTGAGGCAGGAGAATGGCGTGAACCCAGGAGGTGGAGTTTGCATTGACTGAGTGAGTCACTGCACTCCAGCCTGAGCGACAAAGCGAGATTCCATCTCAAAAAAAAAAAAAAAAAAAAAAAAAAGAATTTAAAAATAAGAGCCCTGAAGATCTGAAGATCCACAGGTCTTAGATAAGTACTTTCAATAAGTACTGATGAAAGTCAGAAAAATGTGGTTTCTATAGTGGTACATGGAGTGATTGAATACAAGAAAAATTATGTGTTTGAGTCTTTTATTAGTAGTATTGCCAGTATCTTCCAGAATGGTTTTATCCCAACTCCATTTCTTCCCACATGCTTATTAACTAGCACGCACTTCTGTTTGATGGTGACACTATCCCTGCTCATTCTAAACACAGAAGAAATAGTGATCTCACCTGTAATGTGGCTGATGTAGTGAACAATGTATATGAAACAGCCAAGTGACTGTGTGAATAGTATTAGCTGGTAGCTCCAGAGGTGGAAGTTGAAGAGGTCAGTGCCAAAGCTCCAGACAAACCTATTCAAGTAGTTTATATGCCTATACATCTGTTATACATGCAATTCATGAACTCAGTGAGAACAACAGTAGCACTCCATGAAGACAGAAAATAGAGATATTTGGCTTTTAAAACCCTTGTCATTTGGGTTAAAAGAAAAGATTTATTCATTAAGATAAGTGACCGAGGTGGTGGTGACTCACTTTGAAAATGCATCTTTTTAAAACTATATGTATTCAAATTCTAATAGACATAGCTATAGCCTATAAGAGTTGTCCCTTTGGCTGGATTCAGTCAAAAGTCACCATTTTTTTCATCTGTGTGCTATATATTTTTAAGGAGATCTAATACTATGTGATGGAATAAATGGGTATTGATGCTGTCACTTATTTAAAGGCTGTTTTAAGTGAATCATTTGAGAGATTTCCAGTTTTTAAGAACTCTACTTGGCACCATTACAAAACTACACCTGAAGCTGATGATTGATATGATCCTAGCAGTAAACCCAGAGATGCTTCAAAATATAAGACTAAACAGGAAAAGGTTAGTACTGATAGAACCTTCTAGTCCTCTATGTGAAGAAAGATTGTCTTTTATAAGTCAGTCAGAGAGAACACCTTTCGTCTACCAACTCTTGAGCGTGGCACCATAACTACTCTAGTGGCTGAATGTTTATTTCCTCCATGCCAGTTGGATGTTTTCATGGAACCTTTCCTGTAGCCACTTTGACTCTTCCATTAAACTAGTAACTTGAATAATTTTTTTACCATATCTTGCTGCAGTGTGGTTAATGACACAAAGAAAGAGCTTCCCTAGAGCTCTAGCATCCTCATACCCTCCACCTCATTATTATAGAGTTAAGTGTCTACAGTCTCCACAGGATTCTGAACTTTCTTCCCATTCTGGACATAGCATATACCCACTGTGACCAAATATAATGCTTGTCTCAAACCACTGATTAGGGGCTCAGGGTATGTGAAACTTAAAGACATCTGCTGAGTCCATCTGATAATTCAGTCCCAGAGTCCTTCCTTCCTCATATGCATATCTCCTCCATTCTCTTAGACTTTTGTCTTCCTCCACCTGATTATATTTTCGTCATGAGGTACGGGTACTTTTGTGTTAGATCTTACTCATTGATGCACTGGTTTTATTTTTTTTATTTATTTTTTGAGACAGAGTCTCTGTCTCCCAGGCTGGAGTGCAGTGGTGCCATCTCAGCTCACTGCAACCACCACTTCCCGGGTTCAAGTGACCCTCCTGCCTCAGCCTCCCAAGTAGCTGGGATTACAGGCATGTGCCACCACACCCAGCTAATTTTTGTATTTTTAGTAGAGACAGGTTTTCACCATGTTGGCCAGGCTGACCTCGAACTGCTAACCTCAAGTGATCTGCCGGCCTTGGCCTCCCAAGGTGTTGGGATTATAGGTGTGAGCCACTGCACCCAGCTGGTTTTAAGATTCATCTGTGTACTTCCATTCTGTTGATGAAAGTGTTCCAAAAGTTATCTCGAAAAAAAGATGAAAGGATGAAGAAATATGACACTAATCAAAAGAAAGTTGTAGCAGCCATATCAATATCTGACGAAGGAGAGTTCAGACCAATGCAATATTAGGAATAAAGAAGGACAATACATATGATAAAGGCATGACAACCCTTAGTGTAGACATGCTTAACAACAGAGCTTCAAAATACATAAATCAAAAGTTATGTCAAGAGTACATGGGACATTTACTAAATAAGCCATAAAACACATTTTAATAAATGAAATCGCTATCACATGAAATACGCCCCTCTAAACATAATGGAATAAGCTAGAAAAATCAATAACATAAAGACATCTGAAAAATTCCCCAATATTTGAACATTTTACAACACACTTCTAAAAAACCATATATCAAAGAGGAAGTGCTATGGGGAATCAGAAAATATTTTTAATTGAAAGAAAATGAAAATACAACATCACAATTTATTGGATGCAGATAAAGCAATGCTTAGAGAGAAATATATAGCAGTAAAATACTTGCATTAGAAAAAAGAAATCTCAAATTAATTACAGCAAGTTCTCACTTAACATCGTCAATATGTTCTTGGAAACTAGGACTTTAGGCAAAACAATGTATAATAGAACCAATTTCACCACAGGCAAATTGATATAAACAAGAGTTAAGTTTCTACGGCATATGCCTGGTCACAAAAACATCACCGAACTTCTAAATAAAGACCCCAAATTCTTCTAATATTAAACGCTAAAACAAATGTGAGCGATGCATAGATTTTAAAAAGATTAATAAAAACAAGTAAGATAATTATTTACCCAATTTTTGGTGAATCCGTAAGTAATGGTGGTCATAGTGGTGGTGGATTAAATCAAGGAATAAATGTTTGCAACGGGAAACTGTAAGGAGCATCCTCTACCACAAGCAGTTAAAAAACATCATCACTGGCCATCAGAGAAATGCAAATCAAAACCACAATGAGATACCATCTCACACCAGTTAGAATGGCGATCATTCAAAAGTCAGGAAACAACAGGTGCTGGAGAGGATGTGGAGAAATAGGAACACTTTTACACTGTTGGTGGGATTGTAAACTAGTTCAACCATTATGGAAAACAGTATGGCGATTCCTCAAGGATCTAGAACTAGATGTACCATATGACCCAGCCATCCCATTACTGGGTATATACCCAAAGGATTATAAATCATGCTGCTATAAAGACACATGCACACGTATGTTTATTGCGGCACTATTCACAACAGCAAAGACTTGGAATTAACCCAAATGTCCATCAGTGACAGACTGGATTAAGAAAATGTGGCACATATACACCATGGAATACTATGCAGCCATATAAAAGGATGAATTTGTGTCCTTTGTAGGGACATGGATGCAGCTGGAAACCATCATTCTTAGCAAACTATCACAAGAACAGAAAACCAAACACCGCATGTTCTCACTCATAGGTGGGAACTGAACAATGAAATCACTTGGACTCGGGAAGGGGAACATCACAAACTGGGGCCTATCATGGGGAGGGGGGAGGGGGGAGGGATTGCATTGGGAGTTATACCTGATGTAAAGGACGAGTTGATGGGTGCTGATGAGTTGATGGATGCAGCACACCAACAT